AGGGTAGATGAGAATGAAGACCAAAAGTCAAAAGAGAGAGGTTTGGATATTGATTAAGCATGATAATAATGTATAGAGAAGGGATAAGGCTAAAAAGTTGATGGAGGTTTGTAGTTTCCTAGAAACTTCTCTCTCTACACAATATCAAACCAATTTCTTATGAATCTTCTACAAAAATGCATCAAAACACCTAATTTATTGCACTTTTGTTTGTATTTAAAGTCACTTTCTTAATATTTAATACTAATCTTATCGAAACTTTCGTGTCCCAACCAAAATTTGACTTGGGAACAGTTATGTAACGGCTCAAGTTCATCGACGCATCTGCTAAGGTGAGGTTTCCACTCTCTTATAAAAAATGTTTCATTCTTCTCAATCCATCCCTTATGGGTCCCAGCATCTTTGCTAGCACTCGTTTCTTTTTCCAGTCGATGTAGGACCCCCCAATACACCACTATTCGGAGTCTAGCGTTCTTGTTGGCTCCTCGTGTTCTCTCCCTTTCAGGGCTCAACTTCTTTACTGACACATCACCTGATGTTTGACTCTAATACCATTTGTAATGGCTCAAGCCTACCACTAGTAGCAGATATTGTTCTCTTTGGACTTTCTCTTTCAGGTTTCCCCTCAGTTTTTAAAACGCGTCTGCTAAAGAGAAGTTTCCACGCCCTTATAAAGAATGTCCCCTTCTCCTTCCCAATCGATGACGGATCTCACACTTTCAATGTATGCTATTTTAGTCTCGAAATTTGTAAAAGGTTGATTTTCGTTTATAAACATTACAAATAAAAAAAAAAAAGTACTTTAATCGTTACTTTTATGAGTTGTAACGTGTAGAAAACTTAGCTGCTGACTTATTAGATCGAGAACGTGAAGGGATGGGGAGGGTTAGAGGGGAATAACACGTGGTTTGGAAGGGCAGTGGGGGCGAAAGAGGTCTCTTTTTGGAGCTGGCTTTTGAGTTGACTGAGTAGTAGCTCAACAAATCACTATTAGTCAAACATTTGACTTCTTACCTTTGACCGCTGCGTTTTAGGCTGTCTTGATCCCTCATACCACGACATCTTGGACTGCCTTTTCCATACCCTTCCCTCTCACTAAATTATTTTATATTATAAAAAATAAAAAATAAATAAAAAATTGGCTGGGGCCCACACTTCTCCTATTCTTTTTCTTTGCCTAAATTATTTAATAAAATTAATTTTTTATTTTGTGTCCGATTAATTTAGAATTTTATAAATTTTAAAATTTTAGGAATTATAATTTTGTTATTTGTTTAGAAAATACTAAAAATATTACAAAAAGTTGTGCCTTGGGTCGTATTTTTCATATAAAATTATACCATTTTTTTTTTAATTTCAAAAAGTATTTTTTAAAACATTTATGAAAATTAAAATATTTTTTAATCAAATGATTAAATTGAAAATGTTTTAAATTAGCCTTTTTCCTCTCGATCTGGTCGGTGACCTGTCCTTTTTTCTCCTTAAGAACCACTCTCCACTTTAAGTCGTGGAAAACACGTGGATTTCAAGGGCAAAATATAGCGCGTGGATCTCACGATAAGTACATTGCGAGTGGGGTTGATTGAATGTGAAAGGAATAAAGACGATTTAAAAAAATTACTGTGCGTTTATTTTTGGTTAGGACGTGACTCTTTGCTTTCAAACTTTGCATCTTTTGAATATCGGGGCATGAAATATGGTACCTTTTTAAAAAATATATTAATTAATAAAAATAATAAATAAATAAATAAATAAATAAATAAATAAATAAATAAATAAATAAATAAATAAGACCCACTCAAAGTCAACCAATTAGAGAATTTTGAATTATTAAAATAAAAAAAAAATTAAAGGAATTTAAAAAATGAAATATTTGGATATAATAGCTGAAATTCGGAAGAAGCAGACATTAATGTATTTCTTCTTTATGGTGCAAATGGGTTTTTGGCTGACAATACTGACCCTCCTTGCGTCCTGCAATTTCATTCTCAATTATCTTATTCACATCTTATTATTTTATTTTTTTCATTTTCAAATAATTTAATTTTGTGTTGCTCGAGATTATCGAATAAATAATTCATTATTATTCGAGTGTATCTATTGGAAAGGATGTACGTGGGTCGGTTACGTTTCAATAAATCTTTTCGACTAACTCAGGTTTTGAGTTTGTTAAGTTCGTGACTCAACCTACCCGAATAAAATTCACAACCCAACTCAACTCAATCCTCTACTTTTGTGTTGGGTTGTCGGGTTATGTTTTTTTATTATTATTTTTACATATCTATCCTATACGCGAGTTCCCATGTCCGTTGGAGAGGGGAAAGAAACATTTATTAAAAGAGCGTGGAAATCTCTCCCTAATAGATGCGTTTTGAAACTGTGAGGCTGACGATAATACATAGCAAAAGCGGACAATATCTGTTAGCGGTGGGTTTGGACGGTTATAGATGGTATTAGACACAGAAACTGGATGCGCGTCACAAGGACACTTGGCCTCTAAAGAGGGTTTTTAAGCATTCCTTACAAGAGTATGAAGTGAGTGACGAAGATACGTAATAGCCCAAAATGGACAATATCTGCTAGTGATAATATCAAATCCAGACATTAGGCGGTTTGTCTGTAAGGACGACGGGTCTCCAATGAGGGTTTTTAAGCAATTTCTCATAAAGATATAAAATTATGAGCTGACGCGATATGTAATATGCCAAAATGAATAATATCTGTTAAGGTTGAGCTTGACTCTAGCCCACACATGAGTAGTTGGAAAGAAAAAATAAGCGAAAAAGAGTGAGGGTGTAGTTGGGTTGCGGTGGAAGGAACCGTAGAGAATCAAAATCCACATTCAAAAGAGCACGTTTACGTTAGGAGAGCCGTCCGATCGGACACGTTGGAGACAGGGTCACATGATGGACAAAAATGGAATCAATGGGTCCACGTGTAAGCCATTTATTGGCTTATTTTCGTTGAATTAAACATTGGGCGGTGGGGACGGCGGCCATGTATTGTGGCCAAGATCTATGCGCTTCACGTACCCACTTAAACGGTCGGCTGGAAAGCCAAATGATTATTACAAAATGGAAATATAATTTTGGTTAAATTACATTTTTAGTCACTCTTCCAATTTCATATTTATTTAGTATTTTAAAAAATATTTAATAAATTCTTAAAATTTTAAAATTTTAAATTTATGGATTATATAATAAATTATAGTAAAGAATTAATAAAAATGGGTGCTAATTTGGAATTTTATTGTTTAATAGTTCTAATGCGTAAATTTATTAATTTTATATATAATCGATATGTTTAGGCAAACACGTGTTACGACTATTGAAGATAAAGAGGAAAGTTAAGGGCTTGATTAATTAAAACACGCATAAAGTCAAATTACGTCACTTTCACATGCTTCATAGAAAATCTCGATGGTAGTCACCGAATGATAAGGGTGTTGTAACATCCCGAACATACTCCTACTAGATATTGTCTGCTTTAACCCATTGCATATCGTAAGTGCGTCTATTAGGGAGAAGTTTCCACACTCTTGTAAGAAATGTTTTGTTTCCCTCTCCAACCAATGTGAGATCTCACGGGTGTACACTGATTGATTAGTTGGATTGTCAGCGGTGGTGATGGTGATAGTAAGGACGAGGAGTTGCATCTACAAGGGACATCTTATTTGCATCTAGTGACAATGGCAAGGACGAGTCAAGGAATTATGTTTGTGTTTGTAAGGGGTGAGACATATCGACATATCGACATATCGACGTATCGTTTCTTCTTGATTTTGGAACAGTTCGGATTCAGTCGACCTGAACCTTTGGCCAATGAACTTGAAATCCAAACCAAACAAGTCCGGTTTAAAAAAAAAAACTAACCCAGCTCAACCCAAAATGCTATCTAACCTAACACGACCCTTAAATTTTTTTTCTTAACTTTTATTCAATATAATTTTCTATCGTCAAAATCACTCATTCGAATATCTTATCCGTTTATCTGTATATGTACATTAAAATTTTAATTTGCACCCAATTTAAAATGTGATTGGAAGGTTTTGATTCACTAATAAAGAAAAGAAGTTAGTCTATTAAGTAATCATAAATTATTTGACTTTTATATTTAGTTGATATATAATTTTTTCCATATAGTTCGGTAAACACGCAAAATTACATAGCTTTTACACGTCATATAAATGCTATACATACACACATATACATACATACATACATACATATATACATAATATATATATATATATTAAAAATATTAAAAATGAGAGAGACAATTTATTTTATTTTATTTTTTTATCTCGAACCATCCTCATTAGAATTTATTTAAATTTTAGTCCGAGTATTTTTAGTTTGTATTAATTTTAAAAAAATATATTTATCTATTTTTTCTATAAAATTTTATTATAAATTACATAAATTACATAAATTTAAAATTTATTTAAAATAAAAAATGAGACGCAAAATGTTGTTTTAACCGACATGCTTGATTGCTTAAGCAGCACGAAAATCGGGGGGAAATGGTTTAAATTTATTTTCAATATTAATTTTGAAAATAAACCGAGTAGGGTAAATTGGTAATTTAAACGGAGACGTAAAAGAATGGAAGAAGGGGGGGGGGGGGGGNGTAATCAGGTGTGGATGAGAGTATTATATATTATACCGAATGCCACGTGTAAAGGCGGCCCAGGGAAGAAGGGGTGAATCGGTCAAAAAATCCGCGTATGAAAGAAGGTGAAGCGGAGCCCCACCGGTGGTCCTCGTGCATTTAATGCTAAACACCGTCCCTCAGTCGACATATTCCGTACACATAACAACCGACATCTGCCGGTCTTCCTCCCTTTCTCTCTCATAAACCTTCTTCCCCCCGCCTCTTTCACACTCTCCCACCACCACCCTCCACGGCCAGCGCCGCTCCTCTCTCTCTCTCTTCATTTTCTTTTCACACCCCAAAAAAAAAAAAAAAAAAAAAAAAACTTTTAGTATTATTATTATTATTATTTAAATTATATATATTTATTTGTAATGGAGGAGGTGAAGAAGGAAGAAGAATTGAGAAAAGGCGATCAGAATTTGATGGGAAATTCCGGATTGTTATTCGACATCCCATTAATGGATTTATTGGCCGGACAAGATTTCACCCCTTCCTTGTTCGAACTCTTGTCGGCTGCGCCACCCACTACCACTCTTCCTCCGCCGTCCTCCGCCGTGCCTGAGTCATCCGAAGTTCTCAACACCCCTCCTACTCCCAACTCCTCCGTCTCTTGCTCCTCCAATGAAAAAGCTTTCGACGCCGACGACGGCGATCTCCGGGAGAAATCCCCTTTCAACAAGCAGTAAGTTGGCTAATAATTTATTATAACTTCGTTGTTATTTGATTTTTTTTGAAGTGGGTTTTGATTTAATTTAATTAATTTTTTTAGATTAAAAGCGAAAAAAAAGAATCAAAAAAGGATAAGAGAGCCGAGATTTGCGTTCATGACAAAAAGCGAAGTGGATCATCTCGACGACGGCTATAGATGGCGGAAATATGGCCAAAAAGCCGTTAAAAACAGCCCTTATCCTAGAAGTTATTACCGTTGCACCACCGCCGGCTGCGGCGTTAAGAAGCGTGTCGAACGTTCCTCCGATGACCCTTCCGTCGTCGTTACCACTTACGAAGGCCAACACATCCATCAAAGCCCAATCATGCCACGTGGAGCTTTAACAGCCGCCGCCGCCTTCGCCTCACCGCAACCGCCTCTTGTTTTCCCACAGCCGCAATATACGTACACTCCGGCGCCGCCAGTGGATGTCCGATTTGATGCGGCGTTTCATAGTTTTGGAGAAGAACGACGTCGTATTGAGGGATCTTTCCAAGACCATGGCCTTCTGCAAGATATGATCGTACCGTCCTCCGCCTTACACATCCCGGAAGAAGAATAGAAAAAAAAAAAAAAAAAAAAAAAAAAAAA